AAGAAGCAAAGTATTTTTAACTATTAAATTCAAAAATTAAATCCCCAACATCTTGATTGAGTTTTTTTCTCTAACACTCGTAAATTTATGCGATCTGAGCTTTGTTCAAGAGTGGTAGTGGTATTGCATAAAGATTTTCAATTTTTGTTTAGATAGTAAGCGTTAGTCAAAATGTTGAGAACCACTGATATATATAGTTATTTGGAAATATGACTCGTGGGAAAAGAAAAAGAAGAAAAAAAGAAGAAGGAAAGAGGTTGTGAATTTTGCTTTATGTTTGAACTTACTGATATGCAAAATCGATATCCGTTTTTAACTTTAGTTCCGGATACAAATTTGTATTTTTAATCCTTCTGATCGTATACTGGTTGTCGTATCTTTGGGTTCAGTTTTTGAATACCGGAGAAAAAATAGACATTTGTAAGTGCATCGTGTCTGGGCGATATAGAGGCACTTAAAGTAATGACGAGCCGAATGTTCTCTGGAGCGGTTAACGGCAAAGGAAGAAAGGTGGGAGATAATCAGATCAGTCCCATGTGTTCTTCACTAGAATCGGCATGCAACTTCCCGTTCTTCCCGTTCGTCGAGGTATAATTTCAAGGGCCACTGTGGTGCATCCTGGGCAACGTTCCGAGTGATAAGACAGCTAAATGCCAACATTTTGAACAGCATTTTACATTCTGTTAAACATAGTTATAGGAATAATAATACGCATCTTTTTCGATAGCTAATGAACAAAGAAAATATGCTACGTTTTGTAGTCATGGAAGGCAATAATTTTCTAAAGAATCATATATTTGCTTGTTCCAAACAAAGCAAATAAAACCCAAAGAAACTGCAACTGCAATTTGATAATTTCGGATTACAGGTTAATAACCTAAAGAAGGGTTTGCGATTAGAAATTAAAAATAAATAAATAAATACATTTATTACGTAATAAAAGAAGTAAAACACACTTAAAACTTCTGCACTAGTTATGTAACATGGTATTAGAAATATCTTTTATTAATTATAAGAAAGCTGCAAATGTACATAAAAATTATCAGCTGGCTTTTTAAGAAATCAAAACATTTTATTAAGAGCTGCGTTTATTGCATCTAAATCATTCATTTGTTAATCAAACTGATTAAATTTGATTACAAAAAATCTTATAGGTTTCAGGTTTTAAATTACGTCCAAAGGAGCTTTTTATTAATATTTTAACTGTTAGCTTTATTTATTAAATATCACGTTCTTCGCACTTAGACCTTAAAATTCAGCTCAAGAGCAATATCGCAAAATAGTTTAAATTGAGCATTTCTTTAGGATTTCGATACACAGTCTCTTGCGCTGGAGATAAAAATGTTCTTTCTATACAACGTTGCCATGACTCGCTTTGAAATCCTCGAGTTTGTTAATCACAAATTCGTTAAATTTGTACAAAATAGGAAATCGATAATAAAACAAATTCCAAATTTCAAATTTGGTCTTCCACATGCCCATATTCGCAGTAGGATTACGTCTTTCAAAACTCGATGGCTCTATGTACCGTTGTTTTATCCCAATGCGAGAAATATACATACATTGATGCAGATTTTTCATTGTTTAATTTCTTCAAATGTAATGCAGGACTCTAACATTGGGTGGCAACAGTTTGAAAAGTGAAACGGACATTTATAGTGGTTCAACGCAAAATCGCAAAACGAAAACAATAGTCCTTCAGGGACAAAGCGCCTTTGGACTAATAATGATCTTTTGCTTTGTCGAATGGCAACGCAGAGAACTGAAGCATTTTAATTTTATAATTCGTTCATTTCTTAATAACCTATGCTATTAAAATGTGTGCGTGTCTGTTTGTTTGCGGATTTATCTCCTCCGGATCGGCGGGAAGTTGAGATTCAAAAGAGGTACACCAGGATTCCAAACGTTTGCGGAAGCAATTGCGACCATTCTCATCTTCGCACGACTTTAATTACCCGAGATATTAATTAAAAACTCTGCAAACGTTAATTTCCGCCCTCATTTTTCGGAGTGGCTACAGTGTGGCACGCTGGAGATAAAAATCTCCATTATTTTAAAAAGTGTTGCTACTGCTCGCTTTCAAATCGTAGACTTTGTTAATAAAATATTGTAAGTTTTACAAAATATGAAATAAAAATGGCATTGTCAAACATTAAATATAGTTTTCCCGATTCCGAAAATTCGTGGGAAGCCATTTCGACCATTATCGTCTTCGAACAACTTAAATTAGCCGAGATAGTAATTAAAAATTCTGAAAACGCTAATTTTCGCACTCACTTTTCCGAGTGGCAACAGTCTTGCGGGGTGGAGATCAAAATCTGCTTTATTTGGAAAAGTGTTGCCACTGCTTGCTTTCAAATCGTAGACTTTGTTAATAAAAAAATTTAAGTTCTACAAAATATAAAATAAAAATGACATTGTCAAACATTAAACCAATTATTATTATTATTATTATTATTATATACCGTCATATTCTAACAGTCATATTTCATTTTATGCCAAAAATGTTTCGTTAATATCAGCATTTTAAATAAATAGCTGCTGTTGGCAACTTCTTTGCTTCATCATTGCATTTTAAATAAATAACTGTTTTGCTTTTTTTGAGAGTAGGGGAAAACTAAAAAAAAAAAAAAAAAAAAATCTGAAATGTTTCAGATTTTAAATTACGTCTAAAGGGGCGTTTTTTAACATTTTGTGTGTTACCTTTCTTTATTAAATATCATGTTCCTCGCACTTAAACCATAAGATCCAGTGCAACAGCAATATCGCAAAATAGTTTTAAAACGAGCCTATCTTTAGAATTTCCGATACAGAGACTCACGCGCTGGAGATAAAAAATGTTTTTCTGCACAACGTTGCCATTGCTCGCTTTGAAATCCTTGAGTTTGTTAATCAAAAATTCGTCAAAGTTTTAAAAAATAGGAAATCGATCATAAAACAAATTTCAAATTTGGTCTTCCACACATGCTCATATTCGTTGGAGGATTACGTTATTCAAAATTCGATGACTCTTGTACCGTTGTTTTATCACAATACGAGAAATATACATACATTTATGCAGATTTTTCATTATTTAATTTCTTCCAATATAATGCAGGCCTCTAACATTTTGTGGCAACAGTTTGAAAGTGAACCGACATTTATGAGTCCGACGCAAAAATGCCAAAACGAAACTAATAGTCCTTCGGGATTCAAATCCCTTTGGACTAAAAAAAAAAAAAAAAAAAAATCTGGTGTGTACACCACATGACTTCCTTGTAAGGAATATTAAATTATACGCATTTTCTCGCATTTCATTTAAACGTATTGGATTGAATTAAATCTACTTCGCCGACAGCGCATAAACCACAATAGAATAAATGCATTCTTTAAAATTCACTCTAGTATTTGTTTACCATAGCGACACTCTGGCGCTAGATTCACTTAACAGTATTAATAATTATATAACAGTTAACTTATATAATAATTATATAACGGAAACTAAGTTAACTTTTATATTATCCAATAATTATATATCAGTTAACTTATATATTTCGTTCATATTATAACTCATAATACACAAAATTTATATCATTTAAAGAAGAGAATTATCTAATCGTTGCCACATGTTCTATTCAAATACTATAATAAAGCTAGAATGATGTATAAAAGAAATTAAGCAAACAAAACAAAAAAGAAACAGTTTTTCACAGACGATTGAGTATTTCGCATTTAATTAATTCGGTTCTCACTTCGCGAGAAGGCAAAAATACATAAAAAATCAAAATATCTATATTAAAACTTACGAAGTAAACCTGAAACACTTATTTTCTCGAAGAAATTCCAGAAAGAATTAAGCATGATTTAATTGGCAATAATAAATGAATGCGTTATCTTTGTTGTTGCGAAGTTAAGTCTCTCTAGATTCGCAACAACTCTACTACTCTGCTGTTTCAAATGTAAACATCAATATGTCCGCCATAAAAAAAGGCTTAGCGGCACTTAGACAACTTTAAAATTGTTATAATTCTAAAAATATTGCATAAGGCATAAAACCTTACAGAAGATAAAAAAAAAAACTTAATACAATCATTTGAAAGCAAAAAATGTACAATTTTTAAACATATAAGGGTAAAGAAACTGAGATCACTGAGCAGGGTAACAGATTGGATATATAATATAAATATATTCATATACGTTTGGTGCTGCCGATTGTGACCAAGAATACGAGGTGCACAGCTACATGTTATAGCAGTCCTATATACAAAATTTCAATGGTTCTGAGGTTACTCGTTTTTGAAGTTATGCGAGATCATACGTACGTACATATGTTCGTACAGAACGCCACGAAAAATTCTCTTCAGAATTCCTTTTAAAGAAGTTTTATAATTTTTTTGGATGAAACGAGTCGTTTATTCTGTCCTTACGTGCAGATATCACGCAAAAACATCGTTAAATTGCATTCGATAGCGGTCAAAATGGATATTTTCGTTGAAATATGCTGCCTTAACTTTTGACGATTACAATACTCCCTTTTTACTTCGTACAAGGAAGTAATTATCGCAATATTTGATCTGTCAACAGAAAAGAAGCATTTATTATATTTCAACCGATGATTCATCGAACAAACATAGAACATTCTGATACATATAACTATTTTTCTGTGAATGTTCTTAGTATGTATTTTTTCCATGGGATACATAGTGACGTGTTACTGAATTAAATCACATGAAACGCATTTGGCTTCGAATAAATTATAGTGTTTTCTCAATTTTATGAACTTGCTACATAACTACCTTTCGATTGAATCCCATTATAATGATTGAAAATATTCAGAGCGTTTTTAAAAAAATATACGATAGAAGTATTTAGCAATGAAATATTCTATGTTCGGCTTATGTGTTTATTAAATGTTTAAATTCTTGTACTGAAAATAATTATTTTTACGTGTTTAGCGAAACAGTCGATCGAAGCGCTCGTATGTAAATGAGTGGGTTGCATTTCACGCAAGCGCGAACAAGATTAGATGGGTATAAAGCCACTGCACGTGAAACGTAAGTCGTTCTTTGTCGTCTGTTGGTTGTGTGCAGTGCAGCTACACCTACGTTTAAAAGCAGCTTGTGGAAGCGTGTCCAGTGTTATCTCGTCTTTAAACTTGTTTGTGCAAAGGGATTGTTTGAAAATGTCTTCGTTTATCGCTGTAGTTGTTTCTGCCTTCGCCATTTTTCTCATTGCAAGCACCGAAAACGATGGATCCTCTTCTATGCTGAGAGATAAATCCCATGTGCAAGATAAAGACCACCTCGGCAGTCACCTGCAAGGTATTGCGGACTTGGACAGCATGACTGATAATGAATTACAATTTCACTATTTCAAAGCCCACGACTTGGAAGGCAACAACAAACTGGATGGCTGTGAGCTGGTCAAAGCATTGCTGCACTTCCACGCAGAAGAAAGCCACTCGGTGGGCCACAGACCTACGAAGATCTTTACCGATGCCGAGTTGGAGTTTATGATCGACCCAATCTTGAAGATGGATGACAAGAACTTGGATGGCTTTATTGACTACTCGGAATTCGTAGCAGCTCAAAAGAGTAGAGGTTTTTAACCGACTGCTGATCGCTTTGACGTGAGTTACTTCAAGTTTTCCGAATATTTATTTCAGCTTTTACCAGTGAACGCAGCTTTAAAATTGAATTTTAGAGCGTGATAGCGAGTTTTATTGCGAGGAACTTTATTGTTATCACGAATCTAATGGATGATTATATTTGTTATATGGACCTGTGACTGAACTAGTTTTAAAACTGGATTTTAAAGACTAGACTTGATGCTATGCATGTTTATGTTGCAAAATTTTAAGCTTTAACATTGACTGTGTAATATTGTAAAATTTTAATTTATTGAATGTCGAATAGGTTTCTCTCTTTAATGTTGTGGAAAAATAAAATCATTTGAGGTTTCTCTCTATTTTTCTTGTATTTCATGTTAAAAGTTCTAACATTTATTGTCTAAATTTTATTTCCCAGTTTATTTTCAGTTTAGTTTTAGGTACTCTTAAAATACTTATTTACCTAATTCGTAGTTGTGATCCAAACTTCATGCCAACAATGTTTAAGAGGAACGAGACTAATAAGATCTCGTGTTTCGAATTTTCTTCTACAAGATGATTAATAACAGATTCTGGTACTTTAGCAAGATTATATTACTGTACAGCCTGTTTTAGAAAGGAAACTTATTGCGTCTTTTAAATTAAGTTCTGTTTAATTTTGAGGCTTGGGCTTCTGTTTGAAGTTCCTAACCATAAAAACAAATTCAGATTAATATTATAACCAGTATTAAATGTTTCAGGTACTTCAGTATTTACGCTTTCAGAATAAATTTGTTCACCACAATGAAGTCCTTAAATATTAAGTCCCTACACCGAACGGTAAAGTCTCTAAACACTGAATTTTGGTCTGATGTTCGAATCTCGCGAACGGGCCATCTGCATATGTTTCTGTAGTTTTGGCATGTGTAACGCTTATATGACCCAGTTTCCATTAGAAAGTCCTCTACGAAGGCATCCATCCCCTTGGGCAAATAGCTCTGCAGGCTTTGTGGTAATTACATAAGCAAACTTTAAATATTAATATATATTGATATTAAGATATATAATTTGTAAATGAGCACCTTCAGATGTCTTACTTAACATTTTAGCAAGTGCTGAAATTGGGAAAGGTTTACCGAAATACTTCATATCACCTTTGGGTTAGTTTCGTACCATTTATATAACATCTGATTGTTCATAGCATTGGAAGAACTATTTCGTACTTATTTTAACTATATGCAGCTTTGCGATATGGTATAAATTGTGTTTGTTCGAGTACCTAGTGCCAGTGATCTCATGCTCGGTTTCTAACTAGAGACCTAAGTTTAACTTTCAAGACAAAATTATTATGCTATAAAAAAAACCGCCAACCAACAACTCTTATTAAATGAACAAGCAGTAACAATATTTCAAACTCGTTTTAAAACGTGGAAAAACTGTTCATTATAGTCTTAAATTTTATCTATCTATTCCACTCACGTCTACAATTAAACCTTATTTCACGATAATGAGGAAACTTTACGTTTTGTCTTTCGAATGTAGCTAAAGTTTCATTCTAAAAATACTGTAGAAATTCACGTGCTTTTACATGATTACCTAAAAATGTTCCATACGCTCTGTAATTCGCCTTGCTTTCAAGTACGACAGGAAATTGAAGTAGAAGTTTAATATTATACTGTAAAGTTCTAAAAAGAAACCCAACCATTATAACGGAACTCTTATTAAATGAATAAACGTAGCCATGCCCCTGAAAAATCCAGAAAGAATAATTTCAAACTCGTTTACAAATGTGGGAAAAATCTGCCTATTATAGTTGTAAAGTTTCCTGTTTATCGACGAGTACAATTAAACATTATTGCATGATAATAAGCAAAGTTCATGCTTTGTCATTCGAATGTAGCTAAAGTTCTTTCTAAAAATACTGTAGACATTCATAAGTCTTTACTTTACCTGAAAATGTTCAATACCATTAGAAGTTCACGTTGCTTTCCAATGCAAAAGTATACGGCAAATCGAAGTAGAAGAGTAATATACTGTAAGGTTACCTTAGCCAAATTAAATGTGAAAGTATGGAATCTATGAAAAAGAAATAAAATTGCATAGCTGAGTAACAGTTCAATACGCAACTGCTTCGAAGATTTTAGAGTATTAAAGGTCGTCGGTATTGTGTTCAGTCGAAGAAAGCAAGAACCATTTTGTTTGAGATATTTAAAACATTTTTAGAGCCGGTGGAATAGATTCAAGGTTCATATTTCTTCTACACTTTCATAGTATACTCAGATTTAAACTTTCCTATGAAAGTTACCAAGAACGAGATGGTAGCAATCGTGTAAAATTCACTTCGATTCAGTAGTATGTTAAAAATCCACGGTTAAAACGATTTTATTTTGGAATTAATTTTATTTCGACATGGGCATTAAGTTCGTTATAAGTAAGGTATGCTAAAGTTTCGAAGGTACTTGTGAAAACTTAACTCTAACTTACAATGCTGTAAATTAACACCTTCGTTCTTCTAGATTTGTAATACAAACATTAAATAACTTATTCGTAATAATAATGACAAAGAAAACTCTGTAGTTCGAATCCCAGTAAAGAATGAATGAGCGTTTTTGAAAATGTATACAAGATATTTTTTCTTAGAAAGTCCTCCTCGAAGGCATCCTCTCCGATTAGGCAGATAGCTTTCCAGTGCTTTACTATAATCAAATAAACCAAATTTTCAGAGTTAAATTGCTTTTTATTAAAAATACTAGTTACGAATGGTAAAGTCGCTGAGCTCTGGTAGTTTGATGAAAGTCGCGAATAGGCTTAGAAATTCCTAACTACAATTAAAAAATTTGGTACTTTTCCGTTTCGCCGGCGCAAATCTCGCCAAGCAGACTGTTGGCGACAACATACAGTATACACATAAAAAATGTTAACTCTAAGAATTTTTTTTTATTTTGAAGGCATAAACCTTTTAATATGGTTTAAAATTTTGTAAAAAGCCAATAAATAAAGACAATAAATTTGTAAAAAGACATTAATTTAAGAATTTACTAGGATTTCATGGTTCAAAATCCTGATTCGCCGGTTCGTATCACGTGACCCCAAGTGATCTCATCTCACGTAAACTACGCTACTAAAATCTAATTCGCTCAGTAATTATCTACATTAATTTCAAGTTAAATCTTAATTTGGAATACAAGTTTAAATGCAAGAATTATTTCAATTCGTACGAATAGCTTACTCAGAAATTATGTAAAACCGCAGTGCTTTACTTCGCTAGTCATTAGAATTGATGAATTTAACACTTGATTTCGCCTTCGGATGAGCGGTGTAATTGCGTCTAATTGACTTAATTACCGTGAATTGTCTTAGGGGATAAAATTTAAATATCGTGTAAAAATTCTATATTATTGTATGCCAGTATTGAAAGAAACAATCTGATAAGAAATGGCTTCAACTTGTTTTGAAACTGAGGCGTAAAAGGTTACCAGCGAAGATATTCCGTCTGGCATCAGTTAAACTATTATTGGCGACTTTATCGTTTGCGCCGGCAAAACGGAAAAGTACCAAAAATTTGAATTTTTTTAAAGAATTCATAGTGAAAGGGTTAAATTTTCGACTTCATTTAAAAACATGTATAATAAACTTTAAGCTTAGAAATTCCTAACTTCAATTAAAAATCTGAGCGAGAATGAAAAGACAAAATGTGCTCGCAATGCACCTCGGCATTGTATTTGCTACTTTCTTTCCTGCTTTGCTCATTTTATTTGCTGCTTCTCGTTTTATTTGGCGGTCGAGCGGTAAAGTCGCTGAACACTGGTAGTTCGGTCCGAGGTTTGAATCCCGGAAAGAGGCTGCCTAGATGGGCGGTTTCGTAGTTTTCTCAGTGTGTAACGTGTATACGAGCCAATTTCCCTTAGAAAAGTCCTCCCCTTAGGCAGATAGCTCTCAAGGGTTTGTCATAATCACGCACACAAGCTTCTAGAATTAGTGACACTATTAGATCATTTATTTACAGAATGGAAAAATTCAACTTTACTATGTAAAATTCAATGAATTTGCACTAAGCGAACCCTTTTCCGTCGTGTTGGTACAGCGGCCATTTCTGAAGTGTTTGGTAACACCGGAAATTTGTACATTACACATTCAGTAATTAGTTTGCTAAGTATGACCATAGAAGGTGGTTGCTTTATAAATTTCTCTTGAACCTTAGCCTCTTCACATAACGGATCTGAATAATCGAATATGGATGAATCTTCGGATTACTTGGCGAAACTTTGGCGACCAACTCTGCAACAGCAACCTGCTAGTTTCTTTTTCTTTTTCTTTTTCTTTTTTTTTTTTGACGCCATTTTGTTTTCAAGAAGTAAAGGCATTTTTTTTTTTTACTCAACATTTTTTCCAACAATCTGCTAGCCGAATTACGCTAATGCTAAAAATTTTATGGAACAAAAGTGCTTGATCATGACGAAGATTAGGTGCGAAATTGAGAGAAAGTGTAGAATCGTCCACTGCTTGCCGCGTTTTTAAGAATTGCAGATACACGGTATCCATGTACACGTCGACCTATTTTCACTTAAAAAAACATCACAGAATTTCACAAAAATGGCATTGCGCACACTCTTGACTTTATCCATCTGTACATCGACCTATTTTCACTTAAGTCAAAGAAATTTGACAAAAATCCAATTCTTCTTACTCTTGTAAAGAGCGCCAAACAAATAAGTGGCCATTCTGTACATTAGCAGCGAAATTGTTTCTAAGTGCTTATTAGCTAAAACCCGATTCGAATTTTCCGGAAAATGTCACATGACATGTCTCATGATCTCTCATTTCTCTGAGACAAAATAGTCTGTGATTCGAATTGTGTACTTCTCAGATTATTGCTAAAGTCCTAGCTAGTAACCTTTATCGTCCTAGCTAGTAACCTTTGTCGCCAAACTACCTATGGCTAATCTTTGGAATATGGTAACAGGTAGTTTGGCGACAGTTTGGTAAGGCGATAAAGGTTACTAGATAGGACTTTAGCAGTGTACATGGATAAAGTTAAAAGTGTGCGCAATGCCATTTTTGTGCAATTCTGGGATGTTTTTTTAAGTGAAAATAGGTCGACGTGTACATGGATGCTGTATATGTGCAATTCTTAAACATGCGGCAAGCAGTTTGCGATTTTGCACTTTCTCCCAATTTCGCACCTACTCTTCGTCATGAGTAAGCATTTTTGTTCCATAAAAGTTCTAGGATAAGTGTAATTCGGCTAGCAGATTGTTGGAAAAAATGTTGATTAAAAAAAAAAAATGTCTTTACTTCGTGAAAACAAAATGGCGTCCAAACACAAAAACTAGCAGGTTGCTGTAGCAGGGTTGGTCGCCAAATGTTCTCCAAAAAATCG